GTAAGCCCACCATGGTCGAGTAGGACCTTTGACTTATCTTCACATAGACAGAACTGGTAAAAGAATGGAGCCAGGGGCTCCTCCCCAGCCCATGTGACTCCTGAGGAACAGATCCTCAAATGCCCTTAAGAGTGAAAATAAATTGGTTTATCTGGGCCTTAAACACCCAAAAGGAAAGTATAACCAAAGATTAAAGGGGCCAATATAATTTTTTAAGAGTCCATATGTATAGCTAAAGACTACATAACAAGCAGCAATGCCAGACAGATGATACCTTCTTTTGAGTTGTTGGCCAGGGTTGCCAAAGGGATTCTCAGGTAGTAACCCATCATAGAACTGGAACAATGAACAGAAGACCCCAATCTTATCCAAAGGAATATTGACAACTGATTACCACTGGTTGAGGAGCAGCTGACCCTCCTAAAACAAAGACCTCTAGATAGGCTGACTAGATTCACCAGAAGGGCAAGTAGTGGGTAGTGGCTGGGGTGCTGACAACACAGCAGACAGTAGCAGATATATCAGCATATAAGGGCTCTAGTGGGGGTAGGGAGGCTGTGGGAGGATGCTATCTGGGAAGTGGGTGTATAGTCGAGTAAGATGGTTCGGGATGTTCTGTGTGATACACACACACACACAAAGATCAACAAATTTTAAAAAATGCATTATATTTGAGGAGGAAGCATGGAAATTTAAGTCATGCTAATTAGTAGAGATCATAAACATTAACACTGAAATCTACCCGACGACTTTATAGACATACACAGGCGCCAAGGATCCAATTGCAATCGATTATGACTAGTAATAATCAGATGCATACAGATCAGAGATGCATGCGCCAACATCTCAGTGTTAGTAGCAAAAACAATGAGTCTTTCTGCAAGGAACAATATATTCTAAAATTAAATGGATATCTTCTTTAAAGGTTTAAAACTCATTGGGTTTATATTGAGTACAATATTGTATAACTGTATTAATTCAACTGTAAACTCAAAAATTTTGAAGGAGATGCATCTTAGCTCTGGAAATTGTTATTGAATATGTTAAAGCTGTAATGAAATGCTTCTAATCGAGTGGTTATTAAATAAATAATTTTTAAATGAGTTTTTCTGTGGGAAAGAGTATTTTAACATGAAATGGAGATCTTTTTTAAAGTTTAAAACTTCATTTAATTTTATGTCTTATAGGGTTTATATTGAGTACAATATTGTATAACTGTATTAATTTAACTGTGAACCTAAAAATTTACAGCCACTTTTGAAAGAGATGTGTCTTTGCTCTGGAAATTATTATTGAATGTGTTAAAGCTGTAATGAAATGCTTCTAATCGAGTGGTTATTAAATAAACAAATTTTTTAAGTAAATAACTTACAGAAAGAATATTGCAGGCAATTTGTCCATTTGCTTTAGCTTTTCAACAAGGTGTGGGAAGTAATCTAACATGCATCCTGAGTGATCATCTAAATTAGGGTTAAGTTTCCTCAGCACGATTTTGGCCTGTGGTAGCAAATAAAAACATTTGTATTAAGTTGTGTTGTAAAGAAAAGAGCAGCTACTTCTGGCTAAAATACTTCCACAATTGTTTAATATTTGTTTTTGTCATTCTTTAAAATAGCCCATTGAGCCTATATTATGAAATTATGCTAAGTCACAGTAAGGAAATACACAAATCGATTTTATCACAAAAATTTCACAGTAATATATACACACATCTTCAATTTTTTGAGACAATACAAATCTAGCAGGAAAAGGACTGGTTGGTAATTAGTGCTGTTTCCACTCTCATAAGGAAAAGTGTTCCTCTCTATACTGAATAGGAAACACATCCCCAAATACAGAGTAAGACCTTTTGAATAAAAGATAACTAAAGGAACATAAGCTAACTATGTTATGCTTCCAAATGAAAGAACAAATTAAAGCAAAATGGGGGGATCACTTTTAAAAACTTTAACATATGTTATTGCTGAAAAAACAGAAATTCCAACTTGTGATGATAAAATACACTACAAGTATATAGATTAAAAGTTTAATTAAAATAAATTTCTAAAGCATATAGCTCCAGGGTAAGATTTTAATGCATAAATAGTTCATATAATTTATGATAAAAATCACAGGGAGCTGGAGAGATGGCTCAATGGGTAAAAGCATTTGTTTCTCTTACAGAGGACTTGGGTTGAGTTTCCAACACCCACATGGTGGCTCAAAAACCTCATGTAACTCCAGTTCCAAGGGATCTGATGCCCTCTCCTGGCCCCTTCAGGTGCCAAGTACACAGGTGGTACACATACATACATTCAGGCAGACACTCATACACACAAATAAAGATGAATATTTAATGTAAAAATCAAAAAGAATAAAAGTTCAAGGACTGCTGTGAAACTATATTCCTGACATGACAAGGAAGTTGCACACAAGTATTTGTAGCATGTGTGGTTGCCTGTGTAACACCTGCACAAGATCAAGCCAGCCAAAATCCCAGCATGTGGGGGAGAAGGCCAAAAAGTCCCACCCCCTAGCTGAAGAGCTATTAGCAGTTGATGGGTGCTGGGGTATGACCCTGATAGACAGCCCATGCTCCTATACCCATGCACATACTGACAACAGTGTGTGGACTCAATGGGTTTTAAAAAGAGTCCATGAGGTCAAGAAGGAAAATGTATGAAATTCTCTAGGGGAGAGAATGGAGATAGATTTTTAAAAACACATTATACGAATGTATGAAATTCTCTAAAAAAACATGGCACGCGCCTTTAATCCCAACACTTGGGAGGCAGAGGCAGGCAGATCTCTGTGAGTTCAAGGCTAACCTGGTCTACATAGTGAGTTCCAGGACAGCTGGGGCTACACAGAGACTCTGTCTCAAAAAGACCAAAGGGGGAAAAAAAAAATAATAAAACTTCAATGCTACAAAAGAAGAGCAAAAATTCTTCATGGCTACTTGAGTCTCTCTGAACCCAAGGCATCAACATCCTTAATACCAATCCCTGTGTTCTTGTCAATCATCATGTCCAGGAGGAGCTAGTATCCTCTTGTCTATGTTTTAGGAGACACTGATAGGGTAAAAAGCAATTTCCTTTCCTTCTTTTTGTTCCAGGATTAGACATCAAGTTAAACTTAAAAATCTAAAACAAAAATTGAATACTGAAAAAAAGCAGAAATGGTATTAAATGAATGATACAACTCAAAAAAATTATACAGTGCTTTGCCTAAAATGTGTGAAAATTACCTTTTCTTCTTCACCATTTTTAATCCAATTTGTTAGTTCTGCCTTTAATCTCTCTTCATATTTTCTAGCATCCAACTTTTTAATGATTATTTTATCTTTAAAATGAATGAAATTCTCTGGACACAGGTTCTGGAAAAGGAACAATAAAATTCCATAAAATCATGCAATAAATTCTGAAGATATTTTTCAACTGCATTTATCACTGGGTCTATTATGAGCTCTTGAGGGTATGGATAGTGGAAGTTCTCTTTACCTCTCTGTGCCTTCTAGTAAATAAAACTTTTACTATGTATGAACTCTTCAAAGTTAAGTATATATAGAACAACTGAGCCAAAAAGGAAAACAAGCAGTACTCAGGGACAGAGAGAACAAAGGCAGGTGTGATGAAAGAAATTGAAAGATTAGGAATCCCAGGTGCAAGGGGAGACATAAATACCATAGTGTTCCAAAGGGAAAAAGAATAAATGTTTTCAGAAATTAAAATGAAACATCATTTATAGACCATTAAACTAACAGTGTATAAGGGAGCCATTTTATTTTGAAAAATGTCTGCTAATAGTTTTAAAAGATCAAATCCAAGTGATTGCAAAGCTTGAGTGTGTGTTTCTGAACAGTACTGTTAGAGTTCTCCAAAATGGCATCAATTCCATAAAAATTATTTACCTGTGCCTGGGGCCAACTTTTCCAGACTTGAAGCATGGTGTCATAAAGTTGTATACTTTCTCGAGGTGAAAAGGCAAGATCAGAAGGGAATCCATATTTTTCAATCTGTGTTTAAAAAATTATCTTGTTAATTTTAAAAAATGTTTTGTATAGGATACACACATTTGTAAGTAATCATCATTTTGATCATTAAAAGTTGGCTAAATAGTAAAGATTACATTGTGGGAGAATTCTAAATGAGTGTAGTTTTTTTTTGAGTGTAGTCTTTTTAATGTTGATCTTTAAAAAATATTTTATTTTTAATCATGTATACGACGGTAGGCAGGTATATGCACGTCAGTCTAGGTATCTGCAAGAACCAGAAGGGTTCCTTGGAGCCCCTGGAGCTTGAGTTACAGGCAAGTGTCAGCTGCCTGACCTGGGCACTGAGAACCAAACTTGGGTCCTCTGCAAGAGCAGTGCATGCTCTTAACCACTAAGCCATTCTTCCAACCTCACAATCTTACCCTTTTGTTATGTTTTATCACTTGAGAGTGGTTATTTCTACAACTTAAAAAAAATCAAATGAAAATGAATCCAAGAATCATTACGGGCTTAAAAACATAGATCACTATGTTTGGGTCACTAGAATAATTATGATTTCTTAGATCTCTTACCCTTTTACGGATGCCTCAGCTTCCTCATTTCTAAAATAGAATTCGGACTGTGCCACTAATTTGTTGTAAGAAATAAATTAGATAATAGACACAAAAGTCCTAAGAACATGTCTAGCACATGATGGATGCATTATCGGTCAATCTAGTTTATTAATAAGTAAGTTTATACCTCATAATTTTTTATTGAATCTGACAACTCTGTGGTCTATAGCTGATATTCAATCTAGTTGTTACCACTACATAACTGTCAAACTGGAAAGACCTGAACCAATCTAGGCAGAGAACAAAGAGAAATATATGTAAATTATCAAGCAATGGTATTCTACCATGATGGTATTTCTGCCAACCACACTGCCCCTAATGCCATTGACAATGGTAAGAATTGATCCCCCATTGAACAGTAAGAGATGGCAGTTCTGTGAAGGGATTGCCAAGGTTGACAGCTCTCCAGACATCAGCAACTGCTCCTAGATTGCATGATAATGGTGGCAAAGGCCATAAACAAGATATATATGGCTGAGAACTATCCCTCACTGGTGATTCCTTGCTTCATTTGGGCTAAGACCAATTCATTTGTCCCATCCAATCCCTTCCCTTCCCTTCTGTAATCATTTTTCTGATAGAGCTATAGAGGAAAGAGCCAGTTAGACAAGTCTATCCTTTATGTTTCTACAACTTATTATGCTTTGTTTAGCACTTTCATATTAATCTAAAGCATATGACACACAACATCTAGAATTATTTACTTATTTGGAAGCTCTATTTACCTTTCTCATTGCTTCTTTGGGAAATGTACTACATAAATGTATGTTGTGTAATCAGTTGTTAAAATACATTTAATAATGTCCAAACCTTGCTTGTTTACTCTATATACCTGCGGCCAAAATCCAGAAATCTTAAGACTCATACAACAGCATGACCTTTGTAAAAGTCACATGGTGTGAGAGCACAGCATAGCAGTGCTCCTGCTTTCCAGTTACTCCACTAATAGCTTCCAGGAGGAGAGGGAGGGCACTTGGAACAAAATGATCACTTCAGCACTCTGAACCACTACACTCAAGGCTGCTTAAAGATAACTTGCTGGAATCATCTTATACAAAACAGATCATTCTCAAGTACCACGGTATTTTTAAAATTTTTCAGATAATGCTGAAAATGTTTGGCAAGCTGCAGGTATCAGGAAGGGAGGGAGCAGACAAGGGAGAAAGGAAAAAGGAAGAGAGGGAGGGAACAAAAGAAGAGAAAGGATTCTTTCATTGTTTATGACTGGTTTATCATCTATAATCCCAGGTTTAGGGTACAAGTAAGGAATGCAAATTTTACTTTTGTTTCCATTATTTTTGAATGTGGATTGGACCATTGCCACAAAACGAGAAGCTTCTTTCATAAAAACTATGCTAAAAATTACCACATTTGCTCTCTCCCACCCGCAGGCCTCTCTCAGGGGTAAGTCCATCGCACCCTCCGCACTTTAACTCCCCCAGCCTTACTCACCCTCCAATCTCCCCCGCGGGTCTCTCCTCCTAGCCTGGGTTCTGTCCCATTCCTTGTTTTGGTGCCCCAGACACCTGGGGAACCACCACTGCTTCCTGATCCTTTGTATCCAGACCAACTCAGTGCCTTCTCTGGTCCCCAGGAGCACTGCTTCTGGGCATGGCCCCGCCCTCACCTCCCTCTGCTTCCCTGGGCCCGCAACTGACAGGCCTTTCTCTCCAGGGTAAGTCCATTGCCTGCTCACTGCCTTGACTCCCCCAGCCTGCTTCACCCTTACTGCTCCCTGATGCTTTTCATCCAGACCAACTTAGTGCCTTCTCTGGGCCCCAGGAGCTCTGCTTCTGGGCATGGCCCCACCCTCACCTCCCTCTGCTTCCCTGGGCCTGCAACTGACAGGCCTTTCTCTCCAGGGTAAGTCCATTGCCTGCTCGCTGCCTTGACTCCCCCAGCCTGCTTCACCCTCCCATCTCCCCCACCGGTCTCTCCTCCTAGCCTTGGTCCTGTCCCATTCCTTGTCTTAGCCCCCAGACACCTGGGGAACCACCACTGCTTCCTGATCCTTTGTATCCAGACCAACTCAGTGCCTTCTCTGGTCCCCAGGAGCACTTGTTTATGGCCTGCCCCCACCCCCCACCTTCTTCTACTTCCCTGGGCCTACACCACCACCCAGCCTCTTTCCTGGATGCCGGGGCTGACCTTTCCTCTTCCTTATCCTTTGCATCCAGAAACCCAGATCCTCAGTGAAGTCCCCAGGAGCCCTTAGGGCCACTTCCTGCCCCCATCTGCCTTGCATCTCTGGGTGGCATGGCCAACAGCTGCCCTAGACCAGCAACTTTCCTAGGCTTGGCTCCCAAGCCAGTCCAACCCCCAAACTCCTGAAGCCAAAATCTTTCCTGGAGGGATCCAGACCTTAGAAGAAAGCCTCAGAGCATCTGATCCTCATCTGACTTGAGCCTCCGTGGGAACTCCTGAAGACAAAAGCAATTGGGCCACTCCAATATAAAATCAAAAGAGAGAACTGGAAGCTTAGAGGAACCAGCTTTTCATGCCCAAAAAGTAAACCACAAAGACACATAAAGTTCACAAAAAGA